CGGGCCGGGCCTCCCGGGCCGCGGTGGGGTTGAGCGCCGGGAGGTGTAAGCCCCCGGGGCTCGAGGATGGGCCTCCCCTGGGGCTGTGGCAAATTCACACCCAGAGGGCCAAACCTGGCCTGCAAAGGCTCTGGACTACAAGTCCCGGGAGCCCGTGGGTCAAGGAAGTTGCCCGAGACGGGTGGGCCACGAGATGTAGTTTTGTGGGAGTAGGGTCAGGAGGGCCCTTCCTGCTCGGGCTTACAGTTCCCCGCAGACACTGGCGCAGCCGGTGGCCCCCCTGGGCTTGTGGGCGGCCCGGGATGAGGCACAGCTCACACCTGCAGAGCTGTGGAACTCAGTTCTCCAGGCCTCTAGGCACGGGGTCCTGCGGGCGTTTGTGGGAGACTGCATTCCCCATCCTGGAGGCCCGGTCTGCCCCACCGGGCTTCCAAGAGCGGGGTGCGGGTTGGAAAACGAGTTGTAACATCTCAACAACAAAACACCTCCCATCAGCTCCTGGGGTAGTGGCTCCCCCTGGCAACATCAGGAAGAGGCCTTAATGTTCTAGAATTGTGGTCAGATTGATCAAGCATCCCCGACCCCAAGAAACTCTGAGACTGCAGCTGCCCTTGCCCAAATAAACTCTTAAGAACTCTGGGCTACCACCGGGTGCGGTAGCTCACGCCTGTAATCCCAGCACTTTGGGAGGTGGAGGCGAGAGGATTGCCTGAGCCCATGGGTTTGAGACCAGCCTGGGCAACTTGGCAAGACCTTGTCTCTACAATAAATAAAACTAGCCAGGTGTGGTGACATGTGCCTGTAGTTCCAGCTACTTGGAAGGCTGAGGCGGAAGGATCACCCAGCAGGTCGAGGCTGCAGTGGCTGTGAGCATGCCATTGCACTCCAGCCTGGGCAACAAAGTGAGACTGACTCAAACAGCAAAAAAAAAAACACTGAGGATTCACTTGGGGAAGAGAGACGGTGGGAGTGGTGAGAACCACAACTACCAGCAATCTCTGGGATTCCTCTACTTGGGGCTCCCAGAGACAATTGCAAGGGAATAGGCACCCATTTCCTACTTCTATCTTCTGAATGACTGTTGGAGACAGTTCATGACCAGAAGGAAGTCGACTGGGCAGCAGTTGGGTCTGAGAGCTGGGCCTGGGAGCAGTGGATAGGTGGGGTAGAACCACCAATACCACCCCTCAACACACGGACACACAGTGGGATGGAGGGGCTTGTGGTTGGGTTGGCTGGGGATAGCCCAGGGGATAGCCTGAGGCAGTGACAGAGTACTGCATGTGGGACCCAGACTGTCCTCACTCCCTCTCCTTGCCATCCTTCTCTGGCCATCTATTGAAAGGCATTTTCCGTCCTCTCCTCCTCCTCCGACCCTCTGTTGAATGTCATCTGTGTCTTCTGTTGTCTCTGATTTCTTCTCTGTCTTGCTGGTTTCTGGGGTGTGATGCCGATATCACTCTATCCCCCTCTCTTTCTCTCTCCTCTCTCCCTCTCCCCTCTCTCCCTCTACCTCCCACCCCTGGGTTTCTATCCTTAAATCCTCTCTGAGTCTCTGTCCCTCCCCCTTACACCTTCTCCGGACCTCCGTCCCCTTCTCTCTGGGTTGTCATCCCCCCTTCTCTGTCCTAACACTCTCCTCCACCCCTGCTGGTCTTCACTCCCTTCTCTTCCTGCATCTCTTCTCTTCTCCCACCCTCTCTGTTCACCTCGGTGCTTCTCTCTCTCTCTCTCTCTCTCTCTCTTTCTCTCCCTCTCTCTCTCGCCCCCTCCCCTTTTGCTGCAGCCCCGTGTGACCCCGGAGGGTGAGTACATCCCACTGGACCACCAGGACGTAGATGTGGGCTTTGATGGGGGCACCGATCGCATCTTCCTGGTGTCTCCCATCACCATCGTGCATGAGATCGACTCGGCCAGTCCCCTGTACGAGCTGGGACGCGCGGAGCTGGCCAAAGCTGACTTCGAGCTGGTGGTCATTCTCGAGGGGATGGTTGAGGCCACGGCCATGACCACACAGTGTCGCTCATCCTACCTCCCTGGTGAGCTGCTCTGGGGCCATCGTTTTGAGCCAGTCCTCTTCCAGCGTGGCTCCCAGTATGAGGTCGACTACCGCCACTTTCATCGCACTTATGAGGTCCCCGGGACGCCTGTCTGCAGCGCTAAGGAGCTGGACGAACGGGCCGAGCGGGCTTCCCACAGCCCCAAGTCTAGTTTTCCCAGCTCTCTGGCTGCATTTTGTTATGAGAATGAACTTGCTCTGAGCTGCTGCCAGGAGGAAGATGAGGAAGAGGAGGCCAAGGAGGGGAATGGGGCAGAGACAGAAGATGGGGCTGCCAGCCCCCGAGTTCTCACACCGACCCTGGCACTGACCCTGCCTCCGTGATGCAAGCTGATGTTGCGTCCCCTTCCCCATGGGTGCCCCCTTCCCAGAGGTAGCAAGATGGAGAGGTTGGGCCCTCTCCTGGGATGGGGGCAGGTGTTTCCCAAGACCGATAGGCCTGCTGGGTAAATGACAAGCTGGTGAGGTTCTGCCATGCCTGGTGGACCCACCTTGGACATACTGGACCTTAATCCCTCTGCTTCCTCGCTCCCTCACTCCCTCCTGAGACCCCTTTATGAGCCGATTCCCGAGTCTCACCAGTGCTGAGGGATCCAGAATTCTGGACCACCCAGGAGGCAAGGATTGGTGGTTGTAGATTCCTCTACATGGGTGGACCTGGCTGGTCGGGCAGGGGTCAGAGATCTGTGGTGTAGACCGCCTCTGGGGGAGGACAAGCGCTTGTAGGTCTGGATTCACCTAAGATTCAAGGGACTGTTGCTTCTCAACTCAGCCAGCCGAGCAGCAAGGCATGGGTTCTAGACCACCTAAGGAGGGAAGACTGTGGAATGCCCCGAGCATTCAAAACTATCTTGATTGACCAAAGACAGGGAAAAGTGACTGCAAGTCAAGGAAAAAAAAAAAAAAACAACTGTGGTTCCAGAAAGCCCAAATAGTCGAGATTCTGTGAGTCTAGCTTGACCACAGAGGTAAGCACTGGTGATTCTAGAACAGGTTTGACCTAGAGAGTTGAACTACTCCAGAAGCTAAAGCTATGTTTCTAGAATTGCACAAAACAATGGGTTTAGAAGGACTGAAGTGGCAGATTGGGAGTTCTTGATATGAGATAACTCCAACTTCTGGCTACAGAGCATCCAGCTGGGAGGATAAGCAATGCTCCTAAGTGATCCACAGGGTGGTTTTTTTAAAAGTGCCATTCTAGAACGTCTAAAGGAGGAAGGATTCTGTGGCTCTAGGTTGATCACAGAGTCAGGGAAAGGAGTGGCGATTCCAGATGTCTGAGACTTGCTGGTTTCAGTTTGCCCAATGGAGTTGAGAATCTCGATGATTCTAGGTGACTTCTTGTGGTTCTGAAATGCCAAAAGGAATAAGGCTCCGGGGACAACCCAGAGTTGTCCTTTACCAAAGCCTGGACGTTCTTGTCAGCTCCAGGTGGATGGCCCGGCAGTTCCAGGAGGTGGGCTCAGGACTTGATAAGCAGCGTTTCTGGGCTGACCTAGAAGGCGAGGCTTCCGGGGGACCCTGTGGGGCACAGGGCTAATTAGCAGGCAAGGGATGGGGGAGGCCCAAGGCTGGTGTGTCTAGAATGCTCTGGAATTCTGCACCTAGTGAAGTGTGTCTATTTCTTAAAAATGTTATACATATGTGTATTATATATATATAATATATATAAATACAGATATCTATTTTTTCCCCTGGTTCCTATAGCAGGGTTAGAAAGAGCTCCAGCTAATTGGAATGGAATCCAATTCAAGGATGCAGGAAGCTTTGCTGTAAAATCCCAACTCTGCCCCAACTTACTGTGGAACTTTGGGTAAATCACTCTCCTCTCATCTTTTCACCTCAGTTTCCCCATCTGTACAAATGGGACATTGGAACTTGAAGTTCTTCAAGGGCCTTCCCTGCGGCATGAGTCCCCACCTCCGTGGGAGGGGGTGGGGGGTTCAAGCCTTGGGGGTTCTCCAGCTCTCCCTGGTGCTGGATCACACGGCCTTCCAGGGGAGGCTGGGGTGGGGGAGTGCTCTTGGAGCCTGCCTCTGAGCTTGGGTGTCTGAATCACAGAGCGAGGGGTGGCGTGGGCTGTGGCTAACAGCCAGAGTCACCTCTGTGACCCTGCTTGGGGAGTCAGGGAGGGAGGAGGTTCTTCCAAACGCCAGGGATCTTCCCATTGTGGGAGAGTGGGTGTTTTATTTAGGGGGAGACTTATCCCCCACATTAAAGAACTGGGAATCCTGGTGGGTGTGTCTGTGAGTGTGTTTCTAGGGCATGATGGGTCCTTGGGCCTGGCCCCCTGCCTGTGTTGCCATCTCCCTAAGTGCCCAGCAGGCTGGGAGCCAGCCGCAGAGGGAGCCAATGCCAGGGAGGAGGACACATTCCCACCGCAGTATTCTGGACAGAGGGCAGGCACTGGCATTGCCCATCAGCCTGCCCAAGTGCTGCATCAACTCAGGTGCCCCCTGTGGCGTCTCCATCTCCCTTTATCCTTCAGAATCCCCGTGTAATAACCGGATGGGATTAATTAGGTGGCTGCTCTCCCAGCTCGGGGTGTCTGGGGTAGGGACCAGGGACAATGGAAACGTGGGGTTGGGGACGCTGTTAAATAGTAGGTGAAGACACAAGGAGGAGGTTCTGTTTGGAAGGAGAGAGGATGGGGGCAGGGCTGGTACAGCCTGAGTTTCCACTGGGGAGGGCAGGACCTGGGCCACTCATAAAGGTCAGTGAGGGGATTAGGAGGCTCGGTGTCTAATCCGACAGCTTAACCAGGTCCTGGCCCCGAATCCATCCCCACCTGCCCAGCCCAGGGACAGCGAACGGGGACGAGGCCCAAACACCACTTCAGCCCTCATTCTGGCCTGCCTCTCTAGGGGGGCGTCTCGGTTCCTCATTCCAGCCAGACCCTGAATCCCCTTTCTTTTTTTATTCCTCCCCACCCTCCCCCAGAACCCCCTTTCTTTGCAAGTAATGGGAGCAAGAGGCTGGAGAAGGGGAAGGGCCTCAAATGTGGGAGGATTCTGAGAAGAGGAAGAGTTGAAGAAGGGCAAGAGTGTGCGCGGATGGGGGACCCTGAGATGAGGGGAGCCAGAGAGGAGGGAAAGGCCTCTGAGAAGATAAGGGGAGCCGTCTGGAGGGAGGACGCTCCCGGAAGGGAGGAGTCCAGGGAGGAGGATGCTAAGCTAGGGGGAGGGGTTTAGGGGAATGAGGGAGGAGCCTGAGCGGCAGAAGGCGCCAGGAAGGCGGGGCCTGTGCTGTCACTAAGTTTGGCCTTCCCCTGTTGTCCCGTTCTCCGTGACAGGTACCAAATTGCATAGTATTTAGAAGAAACAATAGGCCAGGGACAGTGTCTCACGCCTGTAATCCCAGCACTTTGGGAGGCCGAGGATCGCTTGAGCCCGGTTCGAGACCAGCCTGGGCAACACAGTGAGACTCCCCGTCCCAAAATTTAAAAAATAAATAAATAAATCTTTTTGTTTCCCCACTCCTTGTCTCTGAAGAGGCTGAGAGGTGGATGGGGAGGTCACGAGAGATGGTAGGAAAGGGTCTGGAGATGGGAGGGGCTTGTGGGGAGGGGGAAGCGCCCGGAGAAGGGAGGCAAAAGAAAGGCAAACCAACGTTGCCCCCGGTTGCACGGCAACCTCTGCGGTCAAAAACCACCGTGGCCTGCTAGGAGGTGTGGCTAGCGAAAACGAGCTACAGTTGCGGACCCGCCCCCTGACAACAAGACTGACAAAGTACCGCCCCCTAGCAACCCATTACTAGAGGCGGGGCTCGGTTGACCTAGACTCCTAGTGCCCAGAATCCTAACGTTGGCGCAGACCTGTTCTGCATAGCCCCGCCTCCATGGAACTCCTTTCCGAGGCGTCTCATTGGAGGGCAAGCCTGTCACGTGCTTTCTTTTATCTCGGAGGCGGGGCCTGCTCCACTGCCAGCACTCCGATTGGCCCTACTGGGCGTCCACCTCCGGCCGGACGTGCCTACATCGCCTCCTCGCGCACCTATTGGTCCTGGAGGTCGGCCTTTTGGCGTCGGGGGCGGAACAGACGAAATCGCCCGCCGCGTATTGGACGGCGTCAAGGAGAGGGGCGGTCCCTACTGGCGGGGCGGCGGGGCGGCGAAGGGAGAGTCTTTTCAGCGCTGAGGACTGGCGCTGAGGAGGCGGCGGTGGCTCCCGGGGCGTTTGAGCGGGCTCACCCGAGCCCGCGGGCCAACGCGGATCCAGGCCCGACCGGCGGGACCGCCCCGGACTCCCCGCGGGCCTTCCTAGCCGCCATGGAGGACGGCGTCTATGGTAGGTCGGGGAGGGGCGGGGCCGGCCG